ATTTTAATCATGTTTATTTAGGATATAAATGTAATGATTCATCCTGTAATTGGTACTTCATTTCTCTCTTCTCTTCTGTTCCTTTTATGCTTTCACCGGTAATCACACGCACTCTGCTCTTTACAAACCATCAATTTCATTTTAATTTGAGGAACATAGGAAGAAAATCTACGAAACGCGTTTTGTGACCTAGATTTCAACCGCAATAAAAAATCAGAACATCCCATTTCTCATTTAATTTGTTAAATTCATAGGACATAAGTATGCATATCACTGGGAAGAAAATGATAAGAAGAGAAATAACATGAAAATTATATATTGCATAATATTGGGATACAAATCGATCAATCAAATAGTTCGTAACAGACGAAAAAAATCAAAAGTTTGAACACTACATTGACACCATAATATCTAATCTTTTTCTAATTGTATTGATCGTACAGTTCTAGCATATTATTGATGTGTTACATTATTCGTGAAGATCATACACTTGAAGAAATTGGTATGTGTACGTAGATCTGGGCCTGTGGTTAAAATTGTAACAATGTCTCCCGCCTCTATTAAACTCGCTGGAATTACTGCACAATTCCTGCTATTTTAAGAAAATCCGATGACGGCAGCTGCAGGATGTAAAGTGGTTTGAAGCTAGGCTTCACGGGATAATTCCTAGACTTGATTGTCTCATGATGCGCGACGAGTGAACATTTACTCTTCTTTGGACCCCGTCCTTGGGTCGCAAACCGCTACCTTTATTTGGTCACGTGCCCTAATGAAGTAAGGTGTGCTCGCGTACCCCGTCCACGTTGACAGGCAATGAGCGTACAACTTGTTTCATTGCGGGCAGAGGGACACGGCCGTGCAGTACAGGCAGGTTCAAGGTTACCGTCGGGTGCAGGAACTGCTTTGTGGGCGACGGAGAAAAGAAAGAAGGCGCTGAATCAGTAGAAGTAAACGCAAAGACTGATTGCTATCGGCCATCTTCAATTCCTGAGATATTTCTTCCTCCAACATTTTTTTCATTATTTATCATTGGGCATATTCCCAGCACGAATGGCCGGGGTAGCGAGAGCGTAATCGCGAAATATTATTATTATTATTATTATTATCATTATCATTATCGCTAATATCACTATTATTGGTTTGCTGGAACAATAAAAATATCGAACAGTAATAGAGAAAACATCGAAAATGGCTGATTGCCATGCCAGTATGTGATTAGTGCCGCCTGTGGCGAGAAAAATGTACTAAACACTGAATAGGTAACACCTGACGGATTTTGCTGTTCTAGTGCAAACTGCGTTTTCAGTCTATATTAGCATCGTAACCAAAATACTCTGCCACTGTAGCACCATGCCACTGTAGTACCATGATTCTGTAAAAGAGACCATAATTGTTTTGACAAAGTTTTGAAAATAATGCAGTCACCATTTTATATCCAATAGTCGTCGGAGAGGGGTATATGTGTGCTCCATCCACTACCAGAAATAGAGAGGTCCCCGACATTCAGGGTGTGAAAGAATCAAGGGAAGTCCATAAATGTTATATTGCTTGGTAAAGTTATGAAATTGTGAGCATTTTGTAACCGCAAGAGAATTTTTGCGTTTGGGCAAAAATCTGTTGAATGCCAGGTATACATTTCCACCACGTCGATTGTAGTCTTGACAGCTGACATCTAGCGTGCAGCTTGATATATTGACAGATCCTGCGACAGGGCTTGCCGTTTATCTCACGAGTACCATATCCTAACAGGAAAACGCAGCGTGTTTTTAGCCAATCGCGAAGGAGTTTGGTATGAATGCGAATCAACAGGATATTATATTCCTTGATAGTTCCTTATCAATGAGAGTTGCCATACCTTTGTGCAGGAATGTCATTTGACCATCCGAAAATCGTATTGTCTTTTCACTTCGGATGGCAATAGTGATCATCTGTTCAGTTAGGGATGTCAAGAGAAAAAATCATTGAGAAGTTGATTAATTTGATGTTCCCTAGAAAACAGATTGCTAGAGAATTTTGTCAATTAGCAAAGATTTTGCGTGTTGCTCTTTTTGGACTAACTCAATACATTATTTTATTTTTGGCAATTTGTCTTTTGCATAGAAAGCAACCTTTTGTCCCATATAAAAAGACAATTTAAAGATATTTAAATAGCATCGAAGTCGTTGCCACAATTACTTTAAAATACAAAAAGTGAGTGAATTGCTAAATATCGTAGGAAGATCATATAATTGTAAAAACGTATGTACTGGAATTTTCTCAGAAAATGTTGTGGAATTGTCTAGGAGAATTCAAGTGTTCAGGATATGCCCACTCTAAACTACTGCCAGTTGGTCTTTGCCCAGCTGGAATCTTTGGCCATTTACATTCTAAAATAAAAATATGCCAAACAATCTTCTCGTTGTGACACTAGGGAGTGTATACCAGCACGAGGTGTGCAAACGAAGCACGATATGGGTCTGAGAAAGGGGGACGGGAAGCAGAAAATCCTTTGTAAGGAGTTGACCTTGACTAGATAACAAGCGTTACTGTACCAGCTTGTTATCGCGTACCCTCTCAGTCAAGGACAAAAGAAAGAGAACATCGGAGCCGCCAGCGGCTAGTTCCGAGTATCCGCCACCGAAAAGGAGTGTATTGATCGATCCAACACTACTATCATAATAAGATCGTTTGTGTAACACTTTTAAAACAAAGCGTATTGAGGCATAGTTTTTTAGCACACCCTCCCTCCGAAGTCCACTACACACGCATAAAACTCAGTAGTTGTGTCCCTTGTTAAAAGCAAATTAAGCTCACGACTCAGTCAAAAATTTGAATTGGCCTGAAAAGCTTTACAAATTGCTTCCTCGTCGCTCAGGAATGTCTCAATTCTGTAATAACAATTTCATTACTTCTCAGAGAGGATATTTTAATGCATTTCTCTTTGGTATTATCGTCTTCGAATAAATTGTTGCCAAATCCCAGAAGGGATGTCATTGCTCTGCAACCAGAGTCACACGAATGTATCATGCACTTTTTATTGACATTCTAACTCACAACAGTAGGAAATCCAGGGTGGCGCATTGCGGACACGGGGCCATGCCTCCCTCCCGAAAAAAGGCCGACGTCCTACGGATTTTCGATAGTGTCATATATACAATGCAAAAATAATAATAAAAAAGTTTAATATGGAAAGTCCGACGGAGTAACAGCCTTTTTTGGCTAACTGTGAAGCACGGAGACAGTTAGGTGGTAGTTTTGAGGGGAGTATCAGCAAAAGCAGTTGGAAGACTGGATTTTCTGGAAGGTAATACTGGCAGAGATCAGTAACCGCGAATTATAAGAACAATCTAAAAACAAGTGCTTCAAATAAGAGTATTCTTGACTTCTTTAATCTCCAAAAAGCCAATGAACCTAAACATTTTGCCCTTTAAAACAGATTGTAGTTCCTGTACAATCGTCCTATGCTGATCCTGTCACCTGCGCTAAGTCCAAATCTTCATGTAATTGAACATGTAAGGCTAAAGCTCGAAATCGAATATGCTAATTCCCAGTAATATATTTGAAGAGAGAGCTGGCTAGTGAATGAAAAAATCGAATTTCTTCGCGCACAGCTACAAACATTAAACTTGGAAATGAATTCTTTGGGAACAATGGGTTTTTCTTCTTCTTGTAATGCTATAGACTGATCAGTGTGTAGGCTAGTCTCGAAAAACCCCTAGCTCCTTCTTTTGGGACTTATCGTCAGTAAGTATACCTTGGGTAGTGTGCCATTGCTTTTCTTAGGGGCGCTATTGCGCCAATTTTGGCGTTTGATTTCAATACCAAATAGCACAGGTCAAGATACACTGTCTGCAATCTTATCCAGTAATTCAAATCGAAACTCTGATTGGTGCTAAATTGTTAGAGGATTTAATTTTGTCATGATCGGCCAAGTGCCTTTCCTGGGATCTGTTCTACATGCCAACCGGCGTCCGCATGCATGCCGTGAATTTTTGGCGCCTCAAAAATATCCCCTGACTTTGAACCCGCGAACTTGGTTTCAGTAGCCCGCCATGATAACCACTACACTATCAAAGCCAGTGACATTAGGTTGATAATTTTAAAATATGACTTTGTAATAATAACGCGAATATTTCCATTGCACGACGACTACTTTCATTTGAAGCGCATTTCTTCGCGCACAGAGGAACTGAATGGATACTTTTGGGAGCAACTGCAGCAAGTTCAAATTGTCTAACACGAAAACGTTGGCGTTCATGCTCTCTATACTAGGCCGAATCTTTCTTCTCATGCGCCTAGCATGAAAAAGTGCGCGGGTAGAACTTGGTGTAACGTCTTGAAATATAAAATTACATGTACTCTCCGAGACAATACGATTACGTTGGAGGGGAAAAACTGAGGAATTGTATCGAATTGAAATAGTTTTTACAATTATCTGTTTATTATAGACTTATTGATTACTAACGAATTAACTCATGAATGGATCAGTAAGAGAGTCCGAAGTCACAATTTTTAGTTTTTCAAGTTGACCGTATCACAATTATCTCTGAGCAACTCTATTGTCATTCAGTATTTTTTGGTCTACCTTTGATTTATATATATTCGCCGAACAGACGAGCTGTATCTCATAACTGCTTGAGAGCGCCATATGATTATCACCCATTGAGCCCCTCATATAGTAAATTGAAGGAAATAAAACTTGAAAACATGTTCACACCAGATCATCACCATGTTACACCCATGTACTAGTGTCCCATTCCTCGTTTTGAGACGTTTTCAAAGGTATCGCTTGGTGCAGAAACTTCCATTTTTGCTCTCCACGAAAAGGAAAAATACTGAATTGCGGATTTATATATACGCACAAATACCATTCATATATTATATCGTGTTATCAACATTCCTCGAAATTTGTATTAAAAGAAAATAAGACATGAGTTTCTGCACGAAGCGATTCCAATGTATTTCGCTTGAGCGGGAGCAAGGGCGGCGAGTACAACGCCGGCGGTGGGTTGTGTGTGCAGGCGCCTACGGCACGGTGTATCGGGCGCGGGACCTCTCGCAGAACGGCCAGCTGGTGGCGCTCAAGAAGGTGGCGGTGCCGCTGAAGGAGGACGGCCTGCCCACGTCGACGCTGCGGGAGATCACCCTGCTCAAACAGCTCGACCGCTACGAGCACCCCAACATCGTCAGGTGAGATCCCTCTACATTTGAGGGTTTTTTGATCGTGTAAATCTTTCTTCTCTATTTCATTTTGCTTATTCATTATAGAGCAATTGTCTAAAACTCTTTTCTTGGGTTGTGGCGAATTGTTTTTGTAGTTTACATTAATATTATATACCGATAGTAAGATCTTTACTAAGACCTTAGACGTATCGTTATTGATACCTTAGAGTTAGGGCTTACGTAAAAAAATATATTAAGGTACGTTTAACCATTTCCGAATAAATGACAAATACACACGTCAATCTGCTTTCGGGCGTGCTTGAATTTCGCCTAATCGCAGAATCGCTGTTTTCAACTATTAGAAAAAATTAGAAGAAGCGTCTAATGTAAATCAAATGCTTTTCATAAACTGATTTAATACGAGAATGTTAGAAGTTTTGTTAATCTACGTTTGAAGGACTCTTGCATTTCGAAATGTGCGTGGAGGAAACTGGCGCAACAAATGCATTTTTCCGCAAGCTTGGCGTCCAGTTGCTTTACAGGAGACTGCGAATAATGTTCGTAATATTTAGGAATAATGATTCAGAATCATTTGGTTTGGTACTAGTCGAGCGTGAAATGACGTTAATGCCATGAATATTTGAGGTTTTGAAGTTGTATATCAGATTGAGTGAACCGTTCTTCACGGCCGAGTATTTTACTCCGGCCGCCGCACCTGGGGTCCATTACGAGCAATAAAGAAATACTTAAAAAAAAAAGAATAGTGTGAAAGTTCAGAGCAAATGCATTGCTGTTGGATGGAAGGAGAAATATTTATTGAGACTCTTGTCTAGAGGCATACTAAAGAACAAACTTAAAAAATAAGAATTTGTTATAATAGTATTTTTTATTGTAATGGAGCTGAGGAAAAGAGGCTGTGTTTAAATTGTAAGTAAACAATTTTATTTTCCTAATTGAACATTATATTCTCATTCACCGGAAATGTTCTGAAATCTTTTTGTTTATCTCTTTATGCTCATGTAATTCTTCTAAAGATTAGTCGCGACATAGAAATTTGGCATACTAAGGTAGTTACCCTCCGATTGACTGTTGTCAGCTCAGAAAACATTTTCATGTCTAAAGGATAAAACGGTTTGTCCTAGACCCAAAAATAATATATTTCATCAAAAAATTATTTTAGATAATGCTATGTTCACCAGAAATAATCGAAATCGAAACAATATGAAATGAGTATTTAGACATTCTTATTAAATACAAATATGTACCAGTCCTATTAACACTAAACAAACTTCATTGTTGGTCTATGAAATCATATTTCCTTATACCACTGTTGATAAAAAAGTTCTCTCTCTATAGCTTTCGTGGTTTCATAATTGCCCTTTCCCTGTGCGGGTAGGCAACCCGTCTTGCTTTCCCGTGTCGCGTGGCTGGCGAATCCCTGCATCTCGCCTACGCGGTAGGTTTCTTCTGTGACGTCATCCCAACTCACCATAGTCCGAACTCTTCCGATTGTGATTCGTGCTGCAAATTTCACTAAAATGTATTTGAGAATCTGACATTTTCAAATTTTTTAACACTAACTTAATAATTATCTGAACCTAGAATTTGTACAAAACCTAAATCCAGTATTTAAAAACTATGATCCTCTATTTTTTGTAAAGCGATCGAGACCTCGAGATTGTGCAATAACTGCCATGTTTATGTTATGTAACTTTTTTGCTTAACTCTGATGGAAATATTTTTAAAATTTGGCTAATTTAGCGGAATTTCTTTTTGAAAGCGAAACATGTGTTTAAACAGTGCCAATGAGAATAATATAAAAATATTTAAATTTGTTTTGTTGTGATTGTGTTTTAGTATTAGGTACTTGTAAATAATTTCTTCGTTGTGATCAGGTTCATTCAACTTATGTGTAAAATCATATGCCCTTGTGTCGGCTATTGACCTTCTGAAGGAGTTAGTTGCGCATGTGAGCTCAGAGGCTCCGAAAGGTTACAACCAAACGGGAAGCTTGCGTTTATGACCAACTGAATCAGCTCTACACGCCAAATGTTTAATGTTTATAATAATATTTTCGAACATAGTCATGTATTGACTTTACGTCTTCCGATGTTGTCTACTCAGTAATTGACTTTACCCTCAATATGTTGTGTACAGTCAATGTGCCCTGTATCATTTAGCAAAACAGGATATACAATGATCACTCCAAAAATATTAATGCATATCATTATTTGTTATTTAAAATTATGAACATGCAATGACCAGAAAGGCAAGAATAAGAAGTTCCAGAGCAGGAATTATGTCAGGCTACAGGAAATCTGAAGTGTTTATATACTGTTAAGCTCTTTATACGAAAATCAGTATATTTGTTAAAACACAGCAATATAGATTCATTGATTAACAGTCATTTTTCAACTAGTTATAATTTCCTTAGGGCCTACTTTAAACTTTTCGTTAATAAAAGTAAAACTGTCATTGGCGAGGAATAAAACTAACTTCCCTGCCTAATAGCAAACATTGGACCGTCGAAGACGCAATCACTGTAAGGATCGCTCTCCGTACACCAGCTATCTACATATTTTCTAGTTACTTTTTGCTAATACTTTCTCCAGCACAAGTAATCTCTTTTTCTTGTCCTTATGAATGTTATGAAATTCCAAATAGGCGCGAATTTGTAATTTATTAATAAATGTTTTGTAGCTTTATATCAGCAAAGAATTAAGAATCGATTTAATATAATTTTGTAATCAATAAAATTTTGATATTGATTATATCGATTAGTGACAGGTGCAAATGCGGCTATCTGCTTGATCATCACTGACCTTCTTTAAAATTTCATCGACTCACAGGGGGAAGATGTCGATTCGCTGGAAACCTTTGATTTAGACTATTAAATAATTTACGTCATGGAATTGCCTCCTCAAACAGTTTGCGCCATTTCGATTGTAAAATGTTTATGAATGTTATATCAGTGTTAAATTAGGTACATCAATACATCGTAAGATTTAAAGCCTCGTGGTTAAGACGCGTAACCGAAGATAAGGTACGGTCGGTAGAACGTATCTTTCACCTCTCGATGAGATGCTCCTACGGACCAATGGACGAGCCTTGGGAGGGCGCGGTTTAATCGGGGCCGAATTATTGCGGGACGCCCCAAACACAAAATTGTGTTAGGGGCCCACCTCTCCTCAAAAAGTATCAAATTTCAAAAGAAATTAAATACAAACTTTTTAGTACTGTAGAGTTTTTAGTATGTTGGATTAACAATTAATTTTTAGATACGCGATCCGACCCAACTCAACCGTACCCAACCATACCCGATCCTACCCTACCCGGCCCGACCCAATCCTACCCGGCCCCGTCGCAGCCCCGCCCCTCCCCCCTCTACCCCGTCCCGCTGTCGCTCTCGTGACGAGGTGGACAGCTGTTTGACCCGCACATGCTGTCGTCTGGGAGCCGGCGAGGAGCGCCGCTCCGCGCCACACCATGCCATGCCGCTCCGCTCCGCGCCAAGAGAAGCGCACGTTGTGCCGGGAGGTGGGGACGCGCAAGGTCGCGGCGTTGACCTTGAGCGCCGAACCGGCCCCAGTTGCCTGAGAGGAAACCCTGGGAATCGTTCTGCCCAGTCGACATTTTGCTTTTGGCGTTTCTTTCCACTTTCTCTCCCCTTCTTCCCTATCGCGCGTCATATTTTATGCCTCATTTTTCCCGTTCTTCCTCGTTTTGATTCGCTCGCTCCTCCTAACTTCTCTAACTTTCAGGCATTGGTTGGTGATCCAAAGGTTGGATTGAAGGAGGAAGATTCCACGTGGTGTGAATCAAAGCTCTCAAATATTTTAACCACTAAGGGCGACAGGAAATGTGCCAAAGGACTTTTTGAACTGAGAGCCCCTATCGTGTACGAACTCATTAATATTCATTGGAAATTTTATCGAAAAATTCCTCTTACTGTCCATAAAATCATGTTATGTATGGCATTGGTATCCGAAACAATTGAAAAATCAATCTTCAGTTAAAGTTTATATTTATAAAAGTCCGATATTTCAAGAGAACCTTTGAACAAAACTCATCTCTTCAGGGATACAAAACGAATCCTGATGGTCATTTAACAAGTTAAAATTCATTAATTTATTTTTATAATTTTTCTACTACAAATGTTGATGTCAGAAATTCATTAATACTATAACAACAATAAAATTATATAATTTTAAGGAATATTATATTAAGAAACCTGAGAAGTTTGAAAAATCTCTTTTACTAAATCGTATCTCAATTTAATAGTAGGGCAATTTCAAGCATTCAGTATTCCAAGACCATTGTGGTATTGTTTTGTTTCGTGCCATTGCAGCCCTGTTGTGAATGGTTGTTGATAAAACCAATACACGATAGTTGTCACGGAACGAGTAAGATTACCCAGAAACCAATATTGCAATTTTCATTTTTATCTGTTGAAAATATATAATTTACTTTTTCATTTTTCTGCTTGTAAAAATACTTGTCAAAAGGAATGTGAGAGATGCGGCCTGCTCATGTTGAAACTACAGTTTTAGTCCATTACTCACAAAAATTGGATAACATATTTCTGTAGTCATACCAGTCGTTAGTGGCGGATCCATATAGAGTCATATAACGTTTATCCTTACTTTATTCAATTTAATCAAATCAGTTACCATATGAGTGGTTCAGTATCAGAGCTGCCTAACCCGCGAAGTCCCTAATTCCTATGAAGTATGGCTCTGAATTATGCTCTATTAGTACCCTAATTCTTTACCCTTGCGAATGAATTCTTGCATGCATGAATGAATGAATTTTCTCAAAAGACAGTTTGAGCCAATAAACCATTCATTCACAAGGATTAAAAAGGTTGGTACGTATACAACTCATAGTTCAGAGACATGCTGCAGAGGAATAGTGCCTTAACAACCTAGTGGGTTAGGCAACACTTGAGCTGAACCACTCATATATTAATCGCATTTCATACCAAAAGAGTATTAACTTATAAATACACTTTTCTTTTAAAACCATTA